AACCTTGTGTAAGAAAGCTCTGACCACTAGACCACTGAGTCAACGTTGATGATGTCTTCAGATTGAAAACCGGTCTTCCATTCTTTCCGCCCAGTACTTTCTTCTGTCCGTACTACATAGTCTAACACTTAACGCGGTCGATTCCCGTGGTCACAGGCTAATTTACCCAAAGAAAGGTATACGAAAATACAATGGACCCGAAGGGTCCGCAAGTCAATTGAAGTCAACGACAGATAGCCTAGGCCAATCCGCTCGTCTCCGCACGCTATGCGAGGTAACCCTAGGCTTGGAAAAGAGAAAAAAGGAAAAAAAAGAAGAAGAGAGCAGACGGAGAGCAAAGGGGAAGAGAAGGAGAAAGACACAGACAGAGAAAGATACACGTCGAAGAGACAAAAACAAACAAACAGCAACACAAGACAGCACAACACAAAGCGGGCCACCCGAGCCAGTAAATGCGCGTCCTCGTGCGTGGGGGGTTGGTGCAGTGGTACAATGGTGCAGTGCCGGGGGGGGGGGGGGGGCATAAGTCAAGTAAGGGGTTCACTCCGGCACAGTATTTCGCGCCACTCGGTCCGCCTCTCGCGTTTCCTGTCTTCCCTCGTCGTCTCGTCCGCCTGTTGTACCCCTCGCGCCCCAGTGGTTGTTGCCGTGTCCGTGTTGTTGCCGGGCTTCTTGTTTCGTTTGAGCGCTCGTTGTCGGCTAGCCTCCTCTTCCTTCTTGTGCCAGGAGGTCATGAACCTCTTAGCTCCCCGCAGTACCCCTGTATGCCACGGTGCACCCCGTTCCACCCTCGCTGCTTCCATCCAAGTTATTTCCGGGACTCCGAAGAAGCATGGCTCGGTGTCTGCAGATCCGTGCTTTGCTTCGAACATCTTGAGGTCGTCCTCCAGACACGTCAGCCAGTTTTGCTCCGGTTTCCCCCTGCCTGGGCCCTCCCCCCCCACCAGCTTGCGAAGCACCAACCGTTTAGGGAGCCGTCCGTCTGGCTGCCTTGCCAATGCTCAGGCGCCGTTGCCGAACAGCGGCTTCCACGCTCTGGCGCCCTACCCTCTTCAGAGTCTGTGCGTAGGAAGGCTGCCGGTAGGTGCCCTTCTTGCGTTGGTAACCGATAAATCGCAGGAACAGGCGGTGGTGTGTCGTCCGCAACGTCCGGTATTGTTCTTGACGTGGGGTCCGCATCATGCAGTCGTACAGCAGTACCTCCATCGCCTCGGCCTAGAGCAGGCGAGTCTTGAGTCGAAACGGTGCTGCGGGCCTGTCGAAGAGCTTCTGGCCATATCTCCCGACGCATGCCCACGCTGTTCTGCTCCGGTAGGTGATTTCCCGGGTGGGGTCGCCATGTTCGATGACGAGGCCGCCTAGGAACCGAAATTCAGTCGTCTGGGCGTACCTCTGCCCTGCTGCCTCCATGATCAGCGGGGACGACGGGGGGGGGGCGTGGTGTTGTTGTCTGCTTCTCCTTTGCGCGCATCAGGAGCGTCTCCGTCTTCTTCCCCGATACCGTCAGCCCGAACTCCCCCAACACCTGCACGATGACGGCCATCACTCTCGCCAGTTCTTCGACAGACCTCGATACAACGCCGGCGTCATCGGCATACAGCATCCCTCATACCGCCCTTCGCACGTGGTCAAGTGGTGTCCCCGCCCCCGCTCCCGTCCCCTCCTCCAGGTACACCAGGTTCTGCAGAAAATCATCATCCTCGCTGAATCGAATGACAACGACCTCGATGACCGCGGCGAAGAAGATGTTGAATAGCAGTGGGGACAGCAGTGCACACCGTTGTTGTAGGCCTCTTGTGTGACCCAGAATCAATCCGAAAACTCTCCGTCGTCCATGCGCACCCGGGCTCGCATTCCGTCGTGGAATTGGAGAATGACGGCGATCACCTTCTCGGGGATCCCGGCCCTGGCCAGCACCTTCCACAGCAGCTCTCGGTCCACCGAGTCATACACCTTCTGTAGGTCGACGAATCACATGTAGAGTGGTGTTTGCCTTCTCCGCCCCAGCTCGTGGAGTCGGCGCACGGCGAACAGCATGTCGATGGTGGATCGCCCAGGTCGGAACCCGCATTGTTCCTCCGGGAGGATGTTGCTGGTTTCGCAGAAGGCGCTTCGATGGTTGGTGATTGTCTTGACGGGGACCTTGCCTAAGTAGAAGAGCAGCGAGACCCCCCTGCGGTTGTTGCAGTTGGACCGGTCACCCTTCCTTCTTGTACAACAACTTGATGGTTGCGTCCTTCCACTCTTGGGGGGATCTCTCCTCTGTTCCACACCTCAACGAGGATGTGTTTGGACGACAAATGTTTGCGAATGCATATGTACATGTATTCTACATAATACATGGAACATCAATATATTCGCGCATCAACCAAACGCCCACCTACCCAACCATGTAGCTGAAATACACCCATGTGGATGTATCAAAATTGTAAGTAGAGGGCTGGGCCGTTGGGTATAAAACCGGGTAGCGATTCCAGGGACGTGGATGGTTGTTGTTGTTGTTTATGTTGTTGTTGTTGTTATCTTCATACAGAAAAAATGTCCAGAACTCTCTACCCAGTACATGTGTGTACCTTTTTTAGTCCTACTCTTGTATGTAGTCTAACACTTAGCGCGGTTGATTCCCGTGGTCACAGGCTAACTTACAAAAAACAACGTATGAAACATATATTGGACCCGAAGGGTGTGCAAGTCAACAGAACTCAAAGACAGATAGTCAGCTAGAACCCTCCACTCGCCTCTAACACGCTATGCGAGGTAAACGCAACCTCCCACACTACTGACAGCTTTGTAAAAACCGCGCATGGGTCACCCATGGGTCACCCATGGGCCGCCATCCCATGGGCACTTCATGGGCAGCCCATGGGCGGCCCATGAACTGCCCACAAAGTGCCTACCGTGGGCGCTTCATCCTAGAACTCGCCACGCCGGCATATCAAACTACATACACATGTAGAACTTAGCCATCGGCACATCACCCTAGAACTTAGCCACCCAGCGCCAACGTAGCACGTATCGTGTGGGCTTGGGTTTAGGGTTAGCGTTAGGGGTATTTGCCGTTATACTGCCCGTTCCAGAGCAGATAATCTATAGGGTTCCGGTTGAAGGGCACTCATGGCCGCCCATGGGCTGCCCACGGGCTACCCACGGGTATGTTCATGGGTCAACCATGGGTGACCCATGGGCGGTTTAGCCAAAATGTATGCATAGAAAGTGTGGGAGATCCGGTAAAAATAGACTGGAAGAGAGAGAATAGGAAAAGAGAAGCAGAGGGAGAAAACAGACACAGAGAAAGACACACCGGAACCACTACCGTACTGCAGACGGACGAGACGGACCGGCGAGGGAAGACAGCAAACGAGGCGGACCGAGTGGTGCGAAATGCTGTGCCGGATTGAACCCCTTGATTGACGTATCCCCCCCCCGGCACTACACTATTGCACCATCGCCCCCACGAGTGATGACGTGCCTTTGCTGGCTCGGGTGGCCCGTTGTCTGTTGTTTTGTGTTGTCTTGTGTTGTTTTGTTTGTTGGGTGTGTCGCTACGGTAGTGGCTCTGGCGTGTGTGTTTGTCTGCGTCCTTCTCTTCCCGTTTTCTCCCTCTGCTCTCTTCAATTTCTTTTCTATTTCTTCTTCCCTTTTTTTTACTTCTTTTTTTTCATTCTATGGTTACCTCGCATAGTAGAGGCGAGCGGAGGCGAGCGGAATGTCCTAGGCTACCTGTCGTTGATTAAATTATGTTCGATCAGGGTTTGAGAGAGGGGACGACAAGTACAGAACAGGCTCGCAATTAAGAAACATTCTGTTGAAGAAAAAAGCTCAAATGTTTACGAAAACAAAGAAAAAAGGGCGAAGAAACCCAGCTCAATCTGGGTCACGACATATGAAACACGATCGTGCGATACCCCGAAACACAACAAACAACGGGTAGCTGGGAAAGCGTGTCCAATAAGAAACGTCCCGCCGCTGCGGCTGTCATGCTGCCATCACAATGTACCTAGCCCATGTAAATATTTTGGTAGGGGGCAGAGTGGTTATTTCGCGGCGCCCCCCGCGCCCCCGCGCCCCCGCGCCCCCGCGGGCTGCGCTACCCACTGCTTCTGTACTGCTGTACTGCGACAAATCAAGGGTGTCAGAAAGTTCAGGAGGGCGACAACCTCGATCAATGTTCGCCACCACCGAGCTGTCGATTTGAAATCCTGCATGACAAGGCATGATGTGTTGTTGTATTCTTCGCCAGAAATTTGAAAATATTAAAATAAGAGCAACAAAACGATGCGACAGCCCAAAGGAATTACGAAATCCGTTTGAAGAAATTGGCCGGCTTCGGCTGGTCCTTCGGGCGAAAATTAGAAATCGAGGCTCGATTTTGACGTTTGTTTTCTCCGGGCCCATTCTGTATCTCAAAGATATAGGCATACTTCCATCTACGTGGGTGGATGCCTAACGGCGCTATCATAGGAACGGCAACCAGGGGAAACACATATTTTCCCTCGCCATTATTAGCGAGGAATTTTCACCGGGACTCAGTTCAATCACGCCGACTTCACGACGCCGCCCCCCCACCTACTGTATTTCTGCCCATCTGCTTGGAATCTCCTTCTATCGTATGTCAAACGAACCCGCCGAGCTTAGCCCCCCAGTCTACAGGCACCGCACAGAATTCCGACTCGACGGCACCTCCGCGCATAGATGATGGAGAGAGAGAACGTTAGAGGCCGAGAGGTAATGGAGGAAACGACGAGTCACGTGTGGCCTCCTAGCCAAGTACACGCGAAACTGTAGCCCTGGCCTGGGCTGACGAAGGCAATCAACAAGTGAATTCGCCGCCCAACTCCCCCCGGCCTCAACAGGAAGGTGTTTCGTTAGCTTAACGCGATAGAACTGCACGGCTTAAGGTGAAGAAGGATGTCGGACGAAGAACCCTGGGAGCCCTTGACCTATGTCGATTATCTCATGCTGGGGATGGTGGGTGCATTCCAAGCCTTTGCCCTGGGGGTATGCATCCATCTAATTCGTTGGCGGAAGTGGCCGCCATACATCACCAAGAACGTCGACCTCGTCATCTTCATGGTGAGCATGTATGCAAATGGCACGAGAAAGACGCTGTCGTCGTCATTGTAGCAATGGTTGTTGTTGTAGTTGTACATGACATGAAATACATTGTTTTCGTGTTGCTGTGTAATACGTAGTCGCCGTCTTTTCGGCTGTTGTGTTTGTTTCCTGCTGCTGTACCCGTTGCCGTTGCTGTTGCCATTGCCGGTGCCGTTTTGGTCAACCGCCTATCATTTTCTGATTACTGCTACATGCACAATCATTGTGCACACCTCCAGCCGTGCTTCCGGCGCTTCTTTTTTTGTCCTGCGGTGGGCCTTCGTCTTGCTGGTTTCTCGAACGTCATCAGAACTACTATCTCTGCGCCGCCCCGCTTCATTCCACTGGGTGTTTGGTCTGTTCTCTTCGTTTTCTGTCTCAGTCTCTGTCTATGTCAATAATGTCTAGCTCAGGTTATGTCCTTCAACTCTCTACAGCTTACACAGTCTGTGCCTACGTCTCTGTGTCCTTTTCCCCTGCCTCCCTGGTCCGCATGACTTCCAATGTGTTCTCCATGTGGATCTAACTGCCCCCACTTGCTCTCGATGCTATGTACTTCCTTCTTCACTCGATTTTCCTCTACCCTTGAACATGCAGACATGTGCGGGTTTCGCATGGACATTCTCGACGGCGGTAACTACCGGCCTTATTCAGAGGAGCGAGGGCGACTTGCTCGCCAACTGCTACTTTGAGGTACCGTATTTCGCACGGTCACAAAATAATACGAAATTGGGCAGTGCTGTAAGGGTTCAGCAAGTACGAATCGATCACGCTACCCTAGGCCCCTCTCGCCTTGCTCCAGTTTTGAAGGCTCACGGCGTAGTCATAGGCCTCTATGGAGCGACAGGAGATGAAGTCACCAAACCGTTGAATGAAGCATTGTTGCGAACGCGGCGAGTGTGTTGACATTTGTAGAGCGACAAGACAAAACGAATGTCAGCATAGCAGAAAATCACGTCAAGGGCCGGCGGTCGGCGAGCCAGGCGGGCGTATGTGCCAGGTAGCGCAAGACGATGACGAATATTTCCCCAAGTTATGGTGCTACGCGGCTCGAGGTTTCGTGCGGCTTGCCGTGTTGTTCGCTCGGCGGCTCCGAGGTCATACGTCAACTCTCACCCTCGTCGTCTGCTTACGTCACGCGAGCCGGCGGCTCTGTAGAATCGTTCGTGCGACGCGGGGGGTCTTGGGGGGGTCTTCTTCATCTTGCTTGCGTAGTGGAGATAGTTTTGATTTTTCAACGTGTATGTAAAAGGGTATGGCGGCCGCCCGCCTATTAGGCGGGACGGCACTGATGACATTGTTACTGGACGCAGAGCTGTACTTACGACGTCATCGGGAACACAAGGCCGTAGCCGGCGGATGTAGGTAGGTACGTTGTGTAAGAAATGCAGCGTAATGTGATGGAAATGGACGATAGAATAGCATAATAGCAACGTCATTTTATATTGGACACTGGTTATCTATAAAATCACGCATACAGATGATGAGCCCAAATTAAATACCAGTAGCCTTTATGGAATGGAACTCTCACCTTTGAACAAAGCAGCTCCGCAGTGAGCGCATAGCGGTGCTGGATCGACGAGTATGGTGGCCGACCGCTGGCAAGTATGAAGGATATCTAATCACGTCTTGAGAACAGCAGCTTTTTATGTTCGGTGAACGTCGGGCGTAGACGAGTGAGTGTAACGGAGCAACTAGTGTATGAGCGCTGTTCGCATGACATGGCTATTTTGTATTGTCTTTGGTTACTGTGACTAGGAGTTTAACCCCCGTCCTCGCTCTCGACTTGTGAGCGCGGAACGCGTTTTAGGTATGAAGAGGATAAAACATGAAATGCAACAACAACAACTGTGAGTGATTCAGCAAGGAGCAGCGGACCTGCTCCCTTCCCTTGTTTCCTCCCTAACATAGCATGGGCATCGTTCGTTTTCTTTAAGCTTTCGGGCACGTCTTCACCCTACACACAGCCGCGGCGCACCAGGCCTCAACAAAAGTTGCCCGATTTTGTCCGAAATTCCGGTGGGTATGCCCACGGGAATCTATCTACAAAGGCTTTCATGTACCTACCTTTGTCTGCTTTGTGACCCGCTTTTGTCCGAAATGTACCCACTTTTGTCCGTTTGTTTCATTGGAAAAGTTTCCCATGCGGTGACGACGTGCAGGCTTCAAAAATTGTGCAGAAGTGGGCACTTTTATTTTGGGCAAAGGTGGGGAAATTTCGGACAAAAGTAGGTCACAAAGCAGACAAAGGTGGGTGCATGAAAGCCTTTGTAGATTCTTTCGGGCAGAATTTCGGACAAAATCGGGCAACCGTTGAGGCCTTGTGCGCCGCGGCTCTGTCCGAAAGAAAAAAAAAAGTTGATGTTCATGCTGTGCATGGACTCTGCCCATGTTTTTTTTTTTTTTTCTTAATATGACACAATGAATCCATCTCTATCATAGAGAAGAGTCTGAGACAGATTAGCAATGAATCCATAGCGTCAGAAAGTACCTGTATGTCTACGATTTCCCAGACAGCATATAGGGACATCTCCCCTGCGGGTAACAGGCTCAACAAAACAGTTTGGTAGCTGTCTTGTGTGTCTCATATATGTTATGTTGGGAAGGTGCAGAATAAATGTGTTAGGTACTGTTGGGTAGTCGGGCGTTTTGTGTGTGGCACCCTATTAGTCGTAGGGCATGCCATCTCCCTCAGTTTTCAAACGTATTTTCAGTGTGGTACGCGTAGTAACGGGTATGCATATGTGCGGACGCATTTCGGAGTATGTGCGGACACACGGGAGTGGTGTCACCATTTTCTTACCGTTTTGAGTAATTTCGTGTCGTTAGATGTGCAAATGGCACGGGAGAACATTCTCTCATCATTACCTCCTGACGTGGTCGCCGATAGAGGCGTATGGTTGAGGTTTCATCACCGACATGTGGGTGTGTGTTAAATGCAGTGGGTATGGTTACCTATCTCACCCGTGCGTAGGCAGAAGGTATGGCTACCTCTCCCATTATTAGGCAGCGTGGACCACAAGTAAAGACAAGGTCTATCATTTCATGCATGCTACATCATTTGTACTTGGCATGGGAGGAATGAGAGGTTGTTCTAGTTTGTAAGCAATTTTGACGGTCTATGGGCAGGGGGAGTACTCCCTTTGTCCGTGTTGTACCCCGGTGTTGTCGCATCAGTTGGCAGCATGTGTCATGGACAGGTAGACGTGGAAGGGCGGCGACAGGTGAAGGCAGCAGCACTATGTTGTGCATGGTGGCATGTTGGGCTTGTACATAGCGCAGCCCATCCTTCGACCACACACAAAGGAGTTTGTTCGTACCTGTGGGGATTTTTCGGAGTTCCTGGGTCAGCCAAGAGCAGCAGCAAGGAGCAGACGCAGTGCAGTATACTACTACAGCTTTACAGTCCGTCCTCCTCAAGTCCTACCGGAGATGATTAGTATCGCACAACGGCTGGATCCGAAATGCCGGCTACAGTAGCTCCGCAATCCAAGAGAGGTAGGTGGCTGAGCTAAAAACGGAATGACGGCATGCGTGCTCCTCTCAGCAGATAGATGTGGCTGGCTGGCTCTTTGAAGTGCAGATTTCTGGTTCAGCGGAATTTGTCGGAATTCCCAATTTTTCCGTTGTCACCTGGGTACGTATATGGGAATTTTTCATGAAAGGTGCACAGAAATCGATTATCCTCATTGCAAGGGACACGTTTCATTTTCAGTGTCCCCCCTTGCGGTTTCGACGGTCAAATATACGGTTGCCCACAGATTTTTGCATCGGAATGATATTTTGAGTGGTTGTGCCTGTCACCAGCGGTCTCCGCCGAGCACGTTTTCGACTACCCACTTTTTTTGTCTGTGAAAGGGGTGGGAACCCACCTTCTTTGTCGTTTCCCATTATTCGAAAATAGGGCAGGGGCAAAAAACCACGAAAAAAAGGGCAGAAACAACTCAACGCATACTACATTCAAGAGTACGCGTGTTAACATCTTTGTCTACATGCCCTCTCCTTCTGTCCCCGACCTCCGTTTTCAGCATGATGTGCGCCTGATTTTCGGTGTCTCCCCCTTCCTTCTCCTCCCCGCCCTACTCGCCTTTTCCTGCCCTAGAAATCCATGGTGTGGACGACCGTTTTTGCTCACTTGATGTCGTTCGGCGTTCGGATATACCGGATGTGGAGGATTTTGATCAAGCACGACGACCACATGTGGCCCGCGAAGTGAGTTGGCAAAAATGTGTCGGCTGTGGTAGAGTCCTGAGGAGCAAACCTCACAGAAATCGACTTCTTACTCTGTCAGCCCCACGGTTCTCCAATGAAGGTACTTGTTGTGGAGCCGCGCAAACATATCCTAGATTGCGTGAACTTTCGAGACGCCGTGTCTCTCTGTACACTCTCGACTCTTCAGGTGCCAGGTAACGCTGCTGTCGAGCATCGGCCTGATACCCCTGCTGGTGGCTTTGGTGGATCCAGGCGTGTATTTCTTCGACGAGAGGCGGAATTCCTGCGGTACTTCACCGGCCTCGAAATACGTGATGATGGCCATGGGTACCGCATTGTTCGCCGGAATTTTCTGTCTTTGGTGAGGAGAAGAGGCTTTGTGTAGGTGTTATCTTCGGGGATGGGGGGGGGGGCATATTCATGGTCGGTCGTGTATGCCGTAGTCGCTAGACCATTGACCTCGCATCTCTACAAAGCCGGGACGGAGCACGCCGGGTTTTCACCGGACCAGGCTCTCACATCACCAAGCGCGAAGCACCGTGAGGTATTCGGCGAGTCGCATGAAGAGTGTGCTGCATCCTGCTAAGGGTGTTCGGCATCTTGTGCTTACTTTCTTGCGGACGGATGACAGATGCGTATGACTTAATTAATTTTCTGGTGCTTTCACTTCCAGAGACAGTTGTAAGCACTGTGTAACTGCCTCGAGGGTGCTTGACCATTCTAACACAACGTGCGATTATCCCCTTTGCGCGGAGTGAGGGTGCTCGACCCCGCACAACATAATCTACTCGACCACAAGTCATGGTTACAAAAAAACAAAAAACAAAGGCAACAAAACAAAGGCGGTAACTTGGTTGCCGAGCTCACGAAGTGGTCAGCTTGTTTTACAACATCGCTGCGAAGCGACGAAAACCCAACCCCGATGGCAAACACCGGGGGGGGCTTGTTTTATAACGTCGTTGCCAAGCGAAGGAAACCCAACCCCGATGGCAAACATCAGGGGCGGGGGAAGGGGTGTGTGTGTGTGTACTTTTCGAGAGCTGGAGATTGGGTTGACCACCGGTGATCAGTCTTGGTTGTGATCGTACGAACGACCGTGTTTTGTTTTTTTCTTTTTGTCATCAAATCTGTTCACTTAGCGTGCATCTTTCGGCAGTTAAATGTCGACGTACTAGCCGAGTCACAGAAGCGATTCTATTACTTCTTCACCTCGCTCCTCCGGTGTGTGTGGTTAATGGCGAGAAGGACTTTGGAGCCCGGCGCGTGATCGACCGTGAAGTCGAACGTTTTTGTAACCAAGAGATTATCATTGCCTTTCATTTTGTTGGCGAGATGAAAGCTAAATTCATGTAAAACGCACCACGTGTGACTATGCCGTCCTCTGTAGCTGTGGCGCTCTGATCTGCGTTTGGTCATGCGAGAAGTTCTTTATCCGTGAACGTCTTTATGTTAGAAGGCCGAAACGGCCGAGCACGTCATTTCCTCAAGCAAGCGTGGTCGCGAGGTAGGCACTTTCTATTCCCGTTTTGGATGCGGGACAGGTTGTTGTTGTTGTTGTTGCGCTGCTGATGTTCACCCTCATGTTGGTTGGGTAAATCTTGCAACAAAAAACTAAACGTGCAGGCTGTGCTCCCACGACGCCCTTCTCTTACCTCTTTCAAGTCCGAGTGACAGTGGAACGTGATATAGCCTCATTGTTGTTCACCTTCTGGTTGCCGTCGCCATGGTTGTGGCCGTGGCCGTGGTCGTGGTCTTATTTTTCGTCATCGTCGTTCTCGTCGTAGATTGTCTTGACTGGGGGTGATTGCAAACACTGTGCGTTCCTCCAACACCTGCTTTTCATTGCCCGCGCTGTCCGGTGCTCACAGGTTTGTGTGCACCCGTCAGCTGAGGTGGGTCCGGAAGCAGTTCAACGAGTACAACGCCATCAAGTGGACCCTGTCATGCCTCACTCTGCTCGTGATCACCTACGTGGCCTTCGTGGGCGTAATCTTCAAGAACCAACATGTTTACGCGAGAAGGGTGGCCATCGTGCGTGAGTCCCTATTCCCTTCTTCGTGTTGCTACCCATGGTTACTGCCGTGTGCTTCTGTTAGTAAGGGTGACCGTTCCTCGTTTTAGCCTCGAAAACATTGGTGATCTTGATGCCACCGTGGTGACAAACTTCTTGTCCCTTAGGTTTCTTACACCCCTCTACCTCCACCTCCCGTCATGACACGATCCAGACCCAGTGCTGACGACGTACACCATGCTTTGGGGCTCCATAGGGGAGCCGATCAAGAGGAAGCTCGCGGGAGACACCGAGTACCTGTTGTCGTTCACAAAGGGCTTCTCGGAGATGCCTTCGCCCGCGCAGGTTAGGGGGCTGTCGCTCATGCCTAATGCCTTCAATAGTTGTTGTTGTTGTTGTTGTTGTGCAATGTCAGCGAATTGTGGTATAATCGCGGCGACCTGTGGGCGATATGTGTATTACCGTTAGCGCTTGGGTATGAGAGGAGGTGTTTCTTCGGGCGTGTGTCTACGTTATCGCTCGAGATACTTCGGATTCGGCAGACTTCAAATTCAACCGTTAAACGTGATTACACGCGTTGCAGGAGGGTGTTGTTGCAATTGTCAGCAGGAGATGAAAAGTACAAGGAACATTGAAGACCTACATGTATGGCTAGTCTGACGCTATTTTTCCGAAACCCATTTCGCGCAAGTGATTCATGGGTTATGTGACAGTAATCCGTCAGGCAGTATGGTGTCGTCAAGGGTATTCCTGCTGACATTCACGCCCTCAAACTACTGTAACAATAGGTGTTTCCCTCCCGGTCAACATAACGCGGCCGGCTTCATGGTGTGAAGTGCGATACGAGGGAAAATGGAAAGGGAGTCATACCGCACGCACCCTGCCAATCCCAAACCCTCTCGGACACACTAATGAGCCTTCATCAACGTTGTTATATTCCGTGACACAAACAGTGACAGAGACAGAGGAAGCATCAGCGGACACTAAGCTTCCATTGTCCGTTCTTCGGTGTCCCGCACCTTGGATTTGCACCACTGTCGCCCAAATACAGCTGAAGGCCAGCCTGGCGGAACAGCTGTCTGTGGAGCAACTCCGGGACGAGTTTCGGAAGTACATCGAGATGAAGGTGGCTCAAGAGCTGATGGACTTTTACATCGAGTCGCTAGACAGGGAGGAGATCAAGGAGTACTTTCCCAGACAGGTAGAGCGGCAGCAACAGGGATATACTTGTTTTCGTCTCGTTCGCTAACCCACCTACCCACCCACATACGTGCCCAAAAGGTACAATCTCCCAAAAATCTTTCGAGGACGTTCCCGGTTATCACCTTGGCGTCGACGAAGAGGTGTCTGCTTTCGATGGCAGAGAACCCAGGTTCGAATTCGCCACCGGCCACATATTTTTCCAAAACATACAGTAGACGAAAAAAGCGGGGGGCCGAAACAGATTATCGAACCCATGGGACTTCGAAGACTTGGCGGACTTAGCGGACCAGTGTAATATTGCACGAATGATTGTGAAGAAGTGAATCCGGATCCAGTCGCCCCGAGCAACCTTCGAGCAACTAAGAACACCAATAGGGGGGGCATATTTCGGCGATCCCCTTCATAAGGGTACAATCTCCTCGGCGATTGTCTGGGACGGTTCCCTGTTTTCACTTCCTTGGTGCACGAATGTTCATCTTGTGGGTTTTCTGTTGTCGCTGTGTCGTACTCCGAGGACCCACAATCCGAGACACGAGACGTAAGCTGCACTACATATGGCTTTATTGGCGTACCTTTTTTGAGTACATCCCACTTAGTGGCATAGGGGACCTGGTACTTCACCTTGTGGAGGTTCGGCGGATGGGATGCCATACGCTTGTCGGAATGGTGCCGTTCGACCTGTAGCTCGCCGATGATGTGAAATCTACACCGTACGTTACACGCCAATTGAGTGCGGCTCCACACGCAGCAGTCGTGGGGGGGCCGACAGTAGTCCCCGCCTGAGGTCCTGAATAGTCGGTAGGTGCGAGTTGACACTCGCCTTTTAGAAGCTCGGCGTTGTTATTCGTCTGTTGACCTTGTATCATAAGGGGGGTACCGCGTGTTCTTCACGCTTTCATTCAGTATTTCACTAGGAGTGAACGATTGATGGTATGCGCCAACGAGGGATTTCGACGAATGTATCTCCCGTGGACTGAGAAATAGTCTGTGACGGTGGCGTTCACGACTCACACGGACAGACTGTTGGGGGAAAAACAGATCTGAGCGACCGTTCCGAGCGTTTAACACACACTCGACGTCTTTTTCCAAAGCTACATATATCCCCCCTGATTTGTTCGCGGTGGAGGGAGTCAAACGACCCATTCAGCATGTACCTCACTTGAAATCCCTGTTCGTTCTGCAGGCGGCGACGATGCGTATCGTTGACCAGTACATCAGGGAAGGGGCTGCCGAGCAGGTGCAAATAAGTTCTACGCACGTTTGGTTATTGTTCTCTACCACCATCCCTGATACATGATTGGTTCACGAACTTATGGTAATACCATCTCAGACACAAAAACGTGTAGATGTCACTGGGGTGTGTGGTATGACTTGCGGCGATAGATGATGTCCTGGAAGAAGTCAGAGAAGTCGAGCGAGTTGATCATCGATCACACTTGTCACTCATGCAGCACAGCAAACCGGCCCACTATCTGGGGGACCTTTCATGCGCTCCTGTTCCTGTCGCGTCGTTTTCGAGGGGCAGGTAAACATATCGGGGCGGTGCCGGGAGGAGATTTTGTCGACGGACGTGACGGCCTACGACATCTTCGACCACGCTAGAGCAGAGGTTCTGGCACTCATGGAGGTACAGTGATAACTCGGAAACAATATAATTGCTGTTGTTGAGCATCAGAGCCCCTCCCCTCTCGTAAACTCCGAAAATCTCCCGCATCATCTGAGCATGTTTTACATATGTAAACTTATGTTTCAGAGAGCAAAATTCGTCATTCTGGTCGTTACCTCGACATCGGTTGGCGTTTTCCGAAACGAAGCGACAACCGATACCGCGGGAGTGATCCCAACTCCTACAGTATGAAGATATACGAACTTCCACAGCTCGATCGCTCTACAACCACGGGAGGGGCGATGTCGGAAAGGGCTGCGATGGAAAGATGCCTTCGGGAGCGTTCCTCGCGCACTAGTTGGTTTTCCTACCCAACTTGTTTTCCTCTTCAGAAGCCAGCAGGTCTTCAATCGGTGCTCTACTGTACCTCGTTCTGGTCGAAAAGGAGGGCATATTCGGTCGCCCGGACACCAGTCGGAAATCAAACTTGGGTCCCATCGTGTTCGAACAGGCCGACATATATAGAGCCGATTTTTCGCTCCTGGGGAAAAAAGAAAATCGGTCGATCTTTGCGCTCCCCGGCTCATTACGTTGGACGCTGTTAGTAGCACCCTTCGACACAAACCCACGTAACCACATTGCCACATCGTAATCTCGTTTTGAAACACGCCCTGCCGAGCGGATTCATACGACCAGCGAGTAATCATAGCGCGTATTACGCTCACTGAAAGCACCCAGTTCCCTCTCTGTGTCCGACCTTGGCCTTCCAATCGCACGACACAAGACCAACTTCCAGCAAGATTTCGTAGAGACGGAAGGGTTCCGGCGCATCGCCGACGCGTCTGCGTTGGAGCAGCAAGAGATTCGCCTCCTTCGGAAAGAAGGTTTCTTGGTTGCGGATGCTTCGCCGACGCTGAACAGCCCGCCGCCCGCTTCCTCTGTCACTCCTCCTCAGAGTGGCCTCTTGAACAAGTTCACACGTTTTTCCTTGGTGGTGGGGAGAATTTTGCCTTCTTCGTCTCGTTGAAGAGATAGTGGTCATCGCGAGGAGGAGTATGGGGCTGCGTGGTGCTGTTTTCGGTCGTCGTTATTGACTGTCAGCTTTTTTCTTGCTTTTTGTTTTTCACGGTATTTAATTTTAAAAATACGTGTAATCTAGACTGGTATATTTTTGGAGGGCCACTCAGGGTCTCGGCGTCCCTTCTGATGCCGCTGGTGGTGGCGTGATGGGATAAAAGGGAGATCACGAAAGGGACGAGATCTGTGCATCCAGACTGGGAGAGACGATGGAACTGCAGGGCTGGCAGGGGGGGAAAGCTGGTACTCCGTACGCAGGAGACTCTCCTTGTGCCCAAGTGCTACTACTACAGGCCGGGTGGGAGATATTCCAGCTACCCCATGTCCCCGGGTCTTGGATTGGTAATTTTCGACGAACAAGACGATGTCGCTCTATTCATTCTTCACACACGGTGATGTTCGCAGGACGAGTGTGAAGAGTCCATATTGGTGAGTCTTGTGCGCATCTGATACGATTCGATACCGTGTCTGTTATTCTAGATACTGACTGCGTAAATGCTTGGGGGTATCTGCTGCAACTTGCTGTGGATATTTGTATTCTTGCTGATGTCTCGATGGCGTCGTCGTGCTACTTTGTTCTTTTTCCCCGTTTAGGCCATAGTCTACCCATAAAACCACCTCCTCAGAAATAGAAACGTAAGCATTGCGGAGTGTTCACTGGAACAGAGGTCCTGCATTGCTAATTTATTCGTATTTCATTACCAACACAGGGGGGAAGGGCAGAAGAAACTCGTTGAGATGATGCCGGCATACTTGGGGGATTCGGACGGTCGGAATTTCGTCATTTGGACCTAGCAAGACATGATGACCGTTTTACCGAGGGGAATCGTTTCGATGCCAAAAAAAGCAAGGATAAGATCGAGTGAGTAACTACTCTTGCGGAAGATGGTGCTGAAACTTGGAAGTCGCCCCCAACCAGCACGCTGTTGCTCATCTCGGTGCGTGATCCGGGGGCTTATTCAAGGCAGAGACTTTTGGCCGATGTATTTGTTGATTTGACTATTTTTGGGTTCAAGTTTTTCCCGTTGTGCTGTTGATTAATATGTCTCTCCGTAGAAGGATTCCTTGGGGTACTCTGCGGGCGGTATGTACCTGGGGCCTCTCGGGGGTGGTATGTTGTGATGATTTAGTGAGCGATTAAATCTCCTCTACCTGACGTTCTCAGGCCACGGACTTCGTGTATTTCGATATGACTGTATGGTACAGAATGGAACAGGGACGGCTTCACGAATCGCTCCAAGGGTGAGCAAATGTCTGGTCGCCCTCCCGATTGCACAAACCAAGAGCGACGCAAAGGTGGTTGGGGTACTCGGAGGGCAAAGGTGTCTGGGGTACCCGGCGGTCGACCTGGTACGGGAGCCGGAGGGGGGTGGTATGACTGAGAAGGATGATTTAGTGAACGGTGGAGTCACCTCTGCCTCGGGCTCTCTGGTCTTTTCTCCATGTATGATCTCTGTGTTTTTCGACATGGCTGTATGGTAGTGAATGGAATAAGGGCGGTTTCGTAAGTCTGAACGGGTTCGCTGCCGGAGCATCAAAGTTTTGGTCACCCGCCCGAATGCACGAAACAAGAGCGATGAAGAGATATTTCTGTACCCAGCGGTCGGTGTGATACCCAGAGCCTCAAAGCTGTGCCTGAACGGAAGGCGAGCGCGTATTGGAGTAGCGATATAAGAAGGTACTGAGCAGAGAACGAAACGGATCATCAAAAGTGAAGACAACCAACAACGTCAACGTAAGGTGCATAATAGATTGGGACCTTCTGGGACAGACGGAAAGTACGGTTCATTCGGCGATAGTCCCTGCGAAGTGTAGCCAGGCAACTGACAGTCACATCATTCGGGTCAAGCGGCCATCTAACCAATCGAACAATCGTGGATTCAACGCCCCTATCGCGACTAAGGATCCACCCGTGCTCGTCACCTCCTTCTAGCACCCCCTCACCCACTTCACGCACAGTAATCACAGCCCTAACCTACGCAATCGACTAATGGCAAATGAGTGACGGCGAGAAAATGAAGTGAGAGAGGTGGTGTGCTCTGGCGGAGGGGATACGCTGTAGCAGGTAATCGAATCGGGCCCGCCTTGTGCCGATGTCTTCATGGTGAAATGAAAAGAGGTAGATGGCAAGCAGGAGACATGGTTGACTACAGAAGAACGGCGACATTGCGAACGGTTATGATAGCGGTGATTTCATGAGAGTCGAGACGTCCAAGCAATCCCGGCACCCTCTGTTTGAGGTTCGTGCCCAAACGCTGAGGGGCAGAGGGGTAGAAAGACGTGCGCTGTGGTACATGCACGACCAATGGTTCCGTCGCCCACTCGCTGCGAAGGTGTGGAATCGTTGGCTATGTACTTATTGTTCGGGAGTACTGTGTTCGTCATCCTGCTTTTCCGCAATAATCAAAACAGCAATGCGAATACAATCAAACCGTTGTATCGGATATACAGACTTGCAAACACATGCTTCCTCTGCGTGTACACGGAAGCCCCCACAAATTATTCGAAAGCTGGGCGGGACGGCCGCAACATGTATCAACAGGCGAGCCGATAGAAACACCCCAGCCCCACTTGTCTCTCGAACTTCGTGTATTGCCAGAATCGAAGAATCAGGGCACGTGATTGCTCATCTTCATGGGGAAAGCTTCTGGTGACGGCCATGCTCGTCATTTCCGTGGCCGGTGGTGAGTGAGGGTGGTTGGGCAAGATGTCCATATGGTGTCACGCGGCCAATCACGTCCACGTCGTGAAAGACGAGGACATGCGGACAACGGGTCGTGAGGTAACGCGACGTGCCGCCAATTCATTTGGAACAGGTATCCCAGTAGCCTAAACAAACCCATGATCTTCACGCCACCTCTCACAGAGCCCGCCAATTTCACAGATTTGAACAGCCTCTTTGTGGTTCTTCCCGTGTCGAATCGCGTGTCGAATCACGGAAGCTATCGATACCAATGGTTGGGGTCGCTGTCGTCACCAATCATGTGGCCACACAGTATGTGCCTCCCATGCGTTCGATTGGCTCCAACCGCAAACCCATCGTTCTCGCCCACTGTGATGAAGTAGCGCCGATCGGAAATGTTAGCACTGGGCGGGGGGACACCACGGTTCACAAGGCAGGGAAGCGGTAAACCAGGGGCAGAGAACATATTTTGGTTCGTTGTCTCATCGGATATTCCTACAGCCGTGGGATGTCTTATTTGTTCCCCATTATGACCGATATTCCGTTCCGAGACACTCTCCGTTCCGATACACTCTCTCGGTATGTTTCTTCGGCCTCGTGCTCAAAGAGGACCACACACCATCGTTGTTGCGAAGGCGAGTGTCGTAACGCCGCATGTCAGGTTCGCCCTCACAAAGCAAACTGCGGCTTGCTGCAGCGTAAGGTGAAGCAGCACATTCACACTAGGAAGCACACATCAACATTGACCGTGTATCCACAGTTAGCACACCTCTGTTCATATTTCTCTACTTGCCGATTTATCCGAGATACAGTACAACGAACGGTACGAATGTCGTTGAGATCTCCATTCATTCTACCCAAGTCCCGAATCTCCCTCACTCCGGTGGTCTGGCGTAGATCCCGCAAAGGTATATATTGACCACCGTACTCGAGTACAACAATAGTTTCATACGCCTGGTGAGCATCTGTTGTGCAAGCAAGGCCTCATCTCTACCCAGCCTTGCATAAGAACACACGCCACAGTAGCTCGCCCAACCCAGTGCGAACCACATCGGTCTCCACCTGCAAACCAAGGTCATATCCCGTCCTAGGCGCAGCCTTCCCCCCGTGGGTGATCTCCCACATTTATTGACAAATTGGTGGAGACGGAAGTCGAATTCCAAACACGCTTCCCATGGGAGTAGCATCGACGTCCTGGAAGCTGGTGGAGTCGCATATACGCCACGGCCAGTCACGGAGTGCGCGCATACTTCCAGTGCAGTGGCGGCCCTGGTCTAGCGACGCCTGTGTTGTCACGACGCAATATGGCCGCTATTCGGTATGTAGTCTATGTCACAGTTCACCAGGTTAGCGGCATCGAGCCTCCATCTCGGCTGAGAACCTTTCATCCGGGAAAGGCCTAGCTTGGCGGAGTTTGGGGCGCGGTCGTCAATCTCTTGTTGACAGGGTCATGCGTTTGTCGTCTTGTGAAGGTAGACAGGATTCATGCATTCTAGTACACGGAAGAATAGCAAGCTTGTTCTACCCTCGGAATGAACTGTTTAGAGCGCGTCTATACGGTGCCGGTACACACAAGCCGTGTCCTGTGCATTTCGTCTTGACCCACGGGCTGAAAAATGTGTCCCTACATGACGACGTGGTACACGCAGTGGCCCGATCGGCGAACTCTCAAGAATGCCCAAGGGGGGAGGGGGACAAAACTAACGACAAATACCTGCATTAGCAAGGTTGCCCCCCAAAGATGAGCAATACAGATAACATGCGTTGCTTAAGCGCAGGACACAGGCATGTTTCTGGAGTAGTTCGGAAAAAATGTTCATTACACTTCATCCGGCGATGGTACCCTGTGAAGTGGTGCCGTGGCTCAAGCCGGTGCTTGCTTCAACCGGGCAACTGACAGTCCCATATTTCGGTTCAAGCGGCCATATTAACCAACGGAACAATCGTTGGTTTAACCCCCCGTACCACGAACAAAGATCCATCGGTGCTCTCCACCTCCTTCTAGCATCCCCTGGCCCACTCACACACAACCATCAGACCTACCCCACGCAATCGACGTACCGCAAACGGCACGCGGGCGACGGCAAGAAACCAAATGGTGAGAGAAGTGATGCATACATACGGAGAGCGTATAACGTACTGTAGCAGCTAATCGAAATTGGGTCCGCCACTACGTTTGGACGGTGAACGTAAACGAGAGAGACGGCAAAGCCCGAGAGATCGCTCAATACCGAACAACAGTGACATTCTTGCGGAACGGCTGTGAGAGCGCTGATTCAACGAGAACATATGTAGACGTCCAAGTAATCGCGGCACCCTCTGTTGATGCTCCGCGTTCAAGCGCTGGTAGGGAAAACAGTGGAAAGACGTGCGCGGTCGTCCGTACATCGTTGCTCCCTCGCTGCTGAGGTGGAGCATCGTTGGCTTTAGATGGGTTCCGCCAGAGCACAGTTGTCCGTCGCCAACGTTCGGGAGGAAGTGTGCGTCATCCTAAATACGTTCTCCGCAGTTCGACACAACCAAACCAAGCTGCTGTAGATGTACGGACTTGCATTCACGCACCGCCTCTGCTTG